TTTTGATACAAAACTACCATCTACAAATAAAAACTGTTTCCCTTCCTTTCTGATATTTATCTTTTTTCTTCTTATTCTCTTTTCCTATCTTATTGCTCTAACCAAACCCTCTAGGACAATACAGATGAACATTAATGACAATAGGCAATCTTGCCCTTTTCCAAACTTTAAAGTACAGTCTGGTATTATACTTGCTGTTGGTATTATTTGGATATTCCTTATTAAGGAAGTTTCTTTCTAATCCTAATTGGTTTTGCTTTACTGTTATTGTTCTTCACCAGGAAAGACTGAAGTTTTCAGACTTCTTTTTCACTGTTCTACAAATGTAACACAGAGCAGTAACAGACTTTCTGAAATTGACCCACCATATTCCTAGAATAAAATCTAGTCTGTCATAGTATATTATGCTTTAATACACTAATGAATTTGATTTGCAAAATTAAGAATTTTTATAGCCTATAATTTTATTTTTTACACAATTTAGTCAGCTAGGTTAAGTTATTAATAAAAGGCAAGAACAGATAACGAGAGTAATTCACCTATACACTATAGGAAGAGGAGAATAAAGTTATAACTAAGCCTACTAGCATTACAACTCTTATAATTATCAAAGTAAAGGTAAAGCTACGATGTAAGAGAAATCTGCCATGAGATGATTCTAATAAATTTATGTTTAAGAGCTGTAAAGTTGTTGTATTAAAGTTTTTGCAAAATAAATTATTTAGGTTAATCGAATGGTACACACTGGCTTGCTTCATAACCTGAACAGCTGGGAGAACTAAAATCAACACTAAACATTTTTTAAAGCTTAATATATTTTAAAAATTAAGTTAGCTATATTTACTTGTCAAATGCCTAAAATATCTTTAAATGGCTGATTTAATTACTCAAATGCCAATTGGTATCATGCCCAAAAACTTCTCTGGCATTATTTGCTTTACTTCCCTACAAACGCGGGAAGTCTTACTAAAATCAGGTATACCCATGTTGTTGCTCCTGTAAAACACCATCCTTGTCACAGGGAAATAAAGAATGAGACCCACTCAGTGAATCTATTTCCTAACTGAGGGAAAATAGAGACATGCTCAAGATGACACAGCAGGTCAGTGGCAACCCCAGAGCTAGAATCCAGAGATTATAACCTCCAGTTGTACCTCTTCCCATTACATCACCATCACTGAGGTGGCAAAGAACTTGAGATGTCACTATATCCCTTCACCTGCTTCTTCACTAAAACTGATGAATTCCAAGAGAAACATCCTTTCACAGCTGCTTACCGTGAATACCCTCTCAAATTCATTCAGCTCTCTTTGTCTCAAACAACACAGAATTTCAACATCCTTCCTCATTTATTCTCACAACAGCCTCACTGCACAGCAGGGTTATGCAGTCTGCAGGTGTGCAAAGTAAGACAGAGAGAGTCACCATCTACAGACAATCAATCTTTTAGTCCTGCTCCTGTTTTCTTAAACCACGCTCTTTTTATAGTACTTAATTTATACCATGCCTTATATTTTCCTTAATTTATGTAAAACAGCATAATAGTACTTTTTTTTTTTTTTTTTGTCTTTTTCCGTGTCCGGCAACGGATCGCAACCCTCAGTG